TTTTTTTCAAAAGTTATCCTATTTGTCATTCCGCCTCAACTGGGTGGGCTGGTTTCTTTCCCGGTCTCTGTATACAGTAAACCATGGGGCGCAGTTTTCATCCCTGACTCGTCGGCACTATTTCGAGTAAATTTCCTAGATGTCTCGCAGTGTAGAGCCGGTTACGTACAAACAAATGCATATTCATATTTTTGAATTCGATACCTTTTGGTCACTTTCTGAAGCCTACAGTGAGGATATCCATCCTTCATTCCTTCGCTCGTATATTTTTTGGAACAGTTGATTGTCAAAAAACGACCCTCAGCCACGTGGGGTTGACTTGAAGACATTGGCTTTCCTTTATTGTTAGTTGTTTATTTTTATGAATTATTTGTTTGTTTCAGTTCGGTTTGATCTTATGGGCGTTGACGTACATCGGTTACTGGTTCTCTGGATTTGCAATCGTGATTTTGGGTACGTTGACCTTCTGATATAGCCCTTCCTTAAGAATATCTCTTGAACACCATCAGCAGCTAAATTTTCCGAGATGAAGGCGTTATTTTGGTGTGTGGTACTTCATAGATTGAGTAACACAAGGGAAGCTCGTGTGTACTTTCATACATACAATATTTTTTCAGCTGTTCTTGGTGCATTTTCAATTCCAAAGGTCTACGAGATGTATCAAGAGCCGATTGACAAACAATTGGCTATGATTTCTGAGCAGATTGGCAAGGTTTCCAAGATGTAAGTTCCAATGTGCAGTTCTATGAAACTTCTCGTTTATGGCGAAGTGTTATTCCTGTGGACCCCAAACCCTTTCAGAGTAGTTTTTCTTTGAGAGCAATGTCGCCTAAGCAAGGTTCTAGGAACCATCGAGGGCTAGGCGACAATGCTGGCAGTTACTGCTCATGTGAAGTATTTCTTGTCGTATGTGGATGAAGAAGTCCGGTTGTTGGTTACTACCAAAATAGAAAACTTTTGAAAAAAGTGGAGCTCGGTTGACTGCGATCGGAAAGGGGTGTGTCCATATACCTCAAGCGGAAACAAAATTTGAGTTTTCTGGGCATTGGCTCGTAGTCTCATAATTCGAATTTAATTCAGCCCACCTGAGTCAAATCACTTCTGTCAAGGGAATAGGTCATCAAGAGTTCAGTGGTGCCAAGTGTTCTTATTCAGATTGGGACATTGTTTATTGAAGGTGTTCGCAGTCGAATTTCTACAATTTGTACCAATTTTTGTGTAAAATGGCTCCAAATGCGCTTCAGCATGGTTTCGTTCACACAGTGATAGTTCATTTTTGATTTTTGGGCACCAAATTGGCTATTTTTTATTGTATCCATTATGGAAATGAAACAGGGCACAGGGGTCATTCTCTAAACGCCCTCTGTTACTGCGGATCCTTGGTTTGGCATAAGGATGGCTATTTGGACTTGAAATCCCCTTTCCAGAATATAATTTTGGGTAAATGTAAACGGCTCCGGTTTCGGAAAGCGCTATGTCTTGAAATGCCTATTCTCTTTCCGCCTTAGATGAATGGTTGAGCTACATCTGTTAATAGCTGTCATTATTGAACACATACATAGATAATCATCTTTTTTCAGGGTGGAAGAGAAGCTGCCATTCTTGAAGAAGGCCGAGGTCCAGGCTGAGAAGAAGGAGCAGTAAAAAGGACTTTGGTTGTGTCTAGCGGTCAAATTAGTCGCCTTCGTCGTTTCCTGCACCGCACAGACCCTAATGTCTTCCCCCACCATGCCAACAATTCAGCAAACTTAAAAATCGATCTTTTCGTCTTTTCCAAAACAGAAAAACCCTGCTCTTCATAGATGGCTTGCCCATAGCCATTACTTGCACTATGCTATGTCAATGCGGATTTGTATCTTGCTTATGGTTCCCGCGTGGCGGCCCCTTTAGAGCAACATGGTGGTGGTGGCCAGCTCCATCCATCCAACCATCTCTCATCCATCCACTCTTCCTTCTCGTCTCGTTTTACCAGCGAATTCAAAGGAACCCGTTCAGGCTTCTAAGCGTGTCTTGCTTTTGTATTTGACGTTGTATTACTGTATTTTCTTCATCCTTTTTTTCTGGTTTTTACACATTCGCTACAAGTTTTCATTTGCGTTTTCCACAAATCGTAGGTCGTAGTGTGAGTGTGCATACTTCAAGCTAAGAAGCATACTCGCCTTTAAGTTCCATGTAACTGTATTGTTCTGTCTTTAATCATGCTAGTGAGTTTCTTGCAAACATTTTTAATCCCGATTATTGAAATAAATGTCTCGATTAGATGGGGAATTTTAATTCTTTAAAATTGCTACATCTTTTTTACTAGGCGTCAGTTTTTTTTTGATTAGAAAAAAAGTACAGCGTGAGCAGGTTCAATAGGGAATCCTTCAAGTTAGAGTGGCCTCCAAAGAGAATTTTTTCATCCTGTGCTCGATCCCTTCTAATAAGCGCGTACCCTTTTTTCTTTTCGATGAGTCCTTGCTGTCATATCTATAGAAGTATTTTCAGAGAGGAACTTCACCTTTAGCAAAGACTTTGACTTTACGAACGTGCTTCCATTCTTTGCACTTACACTACCGCGGCCCCGCTTGCTCTCCTCTTCTTAGTGGCTTTTCCGGCCATGGCTGCTTTGCAGCATTTCCCGTAAAAATGGGTGAGCCGGTTGGCTGATTTGGCCTTGGTGTGGCGCTGGAAGACGTTCTGATATAAGTTGCTCTAGTTGGCCTTTTTTTGTAAAGGTAAGTTTGCAGTAATTTTGGGGTACCCTGACTAGATTGTAAAGCGGAAGCCTTGGTGGGGATTAGTGGGGAAGCGTGAAAATTCGCAAATTATAAGGTCTCTCAAGAGTAGCGGAAGTAGTACGTTGTACGAGATTACTATGAAAAAAATTGTATGAAATGTGTATTTGGACGAGATTC